GCCCATCTCTTATGTAAATAACTATAGACCTGATGCTAGGGCTTTAATTAAATTTTTTAAATAAAAAGTTTACTCATGTGTTAGTTTGGCTCTGTCAAATCTCAGACCAGAGCCATTTGTTTTCCCTCTTCTGAAATATTAACCAAACCTTGTAGAGTCTAGCTTACATGCAGTGTTAATGGATTAGTGGGGTAACTGGAGTTTAGTCGATGCTGTGAAAGTTCTGGCTTTAACAGGATTAGGAGTTTATCTGAAGATTGTCTTTGTGGCAAAGAGCAGCAGCAGGTCTTTCACCTATATCGATACGTTGCATTGAGTTCTACCTCTGCTTCTCTTCTTGCAGACTTCCTGTTCAAGTTCCTGGTGATCGGCAGCGCCGGGACGGGGAAATCCTGCCTCCTCCACCAGTTCATCGAGAACAAATGTAAGCCTTAGTGAAAAGAGGTCATCAGCCCGCTGTGAGGTTACACAACTTCCTTCTGGGGAAAAAGTATTATTTTGCTGACTGATATGAATGAAGCTACAAAGAAACCATCTGTGCCAGTCTACTAAGCATTTAGTGCAGGTTACTGTTAAATTTATATATATATATATATATATATATATATATATATATATATATATATATATATATATATAAAACAGCACAACTCAATGGCCTTTTATCAGAGTTTTCTGCTCTGTCTTTTTTATGGTATTTTATGAAGATTAATCTTTTTTATCATTTAGAGCTCAATAAAGTTTCCTGAACGTGTTATTTCTAAAACTACAGTGACTGCTTTGACAGGAAAGAACATTATAGTGTCATAAAAGTCAGGCTGTGAAAGAATGTTTAATAAACCCGTCATTCAAAGAGCAAGAGGCTCTTTGTGAAACAATATATGAACTGTTGAATGTTAAAACTGTCAAAATAAGGTTAGCAGAACAGCCCCCTCCAAGATTGACACTTAAATGAAACCTGATAGTTGAAACTTAAGATTTTCCCTTCATTTTTTGAATCAAAATAAAGAGATGTACAATGCAAAAAACTATATTTTGGCTTTCACAGATATCAGATTTGTTTTTTACACACAGCAGATTTGGATGTCAAAGATTAGCAGCATAGATGTTCTCACTGATTGAAGGTTGAGGATTCTTGGCTTCTCTTCTTTCTTCTAGCACCTCAAAGCTCAGACTTGGACTAGGCCAGTCCAAAAGCTCTGCTATCATTTTGAGCCACTCCTATGGATACAATTTGTCACCTTAAATCATTAACACCAACTTTTAATTGGGTTATTTAAGGACTGCACTGCTTTTAGGATTATTTTGGTTAGGTTGCCACTTCAGGACTGTTCTGTGTTTCCTCTATTGATACTGGTTCTCAGTGCCGTCCTAAAGCTATATGACCCCTATCCACATTTATTTATGACTATTTACTCAGTTTATCTTTTTCTGATATTGAGGTTTGAGGATCTATCAATCTTCTGTCAGTTTCCTGCAGGCTCTCATGTGAATAAGTGTTTTTGAAGGTTGCTCTCTTTTTAAACAAACATGGCACATTCAGTAGTGAGACGGTGGGAACCCTTGTAAAGTGGTTGTCTTTCTTTATTGCTCTGCAAACTAAATAAATGTGTCATATTTTTGTTTTTTAAACTCTTGTCGTTCTACCTGTGCAGTCAAACAGGATTCCAACCACACCATCGGCGTGGAGTTTGGTTCCAGGGTGGTTAACGTCGCGGGGAAGACGGTCAAACTGCAGATCTGGGACACCGCCGGGCAGGAACGATTTCGGTAAGGCATCAAGAAATGTCCTGCTACAACGTAGCCAGTAGTCTAGTTGTTAAAAAAAAAAAAAAAAAAAAAGAAGAAGAAGAAGGGGGATGGTGGATTTTTTTTTTTTTTTGGGAAGCATACATAGCCTAAATAATATAGTCTAATAACCTAAAGCAATATGCATGGTGTGGTTGTTACATGTCAGGCAAACCGGTCATTGACCTTGAAGAAGGAACCTTGTACTGACATGGCTATCATTGCCTCTACATAGTTAGGGACAAATTTCCCACTGGGATCAGCTTTATAGTCATGGTGGGCCACTTCTTTGATTTTATTTATTTTAGGGCTGCAACAACGAATCGATAAAATCGATAAAAATCGACTTTTAAAAGCGTTGGC